AATCCATACAAAAATGAGCATGGTACGATCAACGTAAAATGCACTTTGTACTGCATTTTAAAAATCAGCATATTGAAAATTGAAAATATTTTGTTTGTAGACTCTAAAAATGCTGAAAAGATTTTACTGAGATTTTCACAGAACGTCATAACATGCCCTGGGAATAACATATGCTTTAAAAACTTCTAAGATTTCCCGAGGATGCGGTGTTATAGCATCGAACGTAATCATACCTCAAAAATTATGAACAAGTAATTTGTGTATATCTTAAGTACGGTTACAGATACCGACTTCAAACTATTGCTGAGTAACGTGAGTGTAAATACGCATCATCCACACAACATGACCGCGGACAAGGGAAAATGCACACCTTATTGCATTTAAATCTATACGTAGAAAATAGAAAACATATTGTTTGTGGAATCAAAAACCACCAGATTTTTCTAAAATGTTCATAGTAAGGCAAGCGATCCCATGGAAGTAACATAGGTTAGATAAAACTGAGGAGCAATAGCATCAAAAGTATTCATACATCTGAAAGAATGTACCTACCTATGTAGAATATTTTCTATGGGTATATCATAAGATAGCGGCTTGAAAATATGGTTGAGTAACATGGATACAAATCCGATGGGGATATATTTTCGAACGATGAGGATATATTTTGAAATACATATGTATGTATGTATATATGAAATAAAAATTGGTTGACATTATAATTCTCCATTTTTGTCAGTTTGTGAAAAAAGTTTATTTTGAACACAATTAAACAAAATGTTATTTGGATTTCAAAATAAAAAAGAAAAAAACATTGAAGTGAGTAGTGTGAATTTTAATTATAAATCGTTTTATCATCAGAAAAAATCAGAGACTGGGATAGGATCAATTCAGATATACCACTATTTTTATACCCTTTACCACACTTCAAATTTGGCACAGCTCATTTGTTTGGCCCAAGAACGATTTACACGAAATTTGGCACAGCGTAATCTTTTGATTTGAACGAAATTTGGCATGGCATACTGAACTGCGTTTATAATAATGTGTGCTAAGTTTCATGAAAATCGGTTCAGATTTAGATATAGCTCCCATATATAGTTTCGCCCGATTTTAGGTAACTGATGCACCAAAGTCCCTGGAAATCTTTTCATTTCCACGAATTTTAGCAGAGCGTACTGAATTAAGTCTAGAATTATGTGGGCAAAGTTTCGTGAAATTTAGTAAATATTGCAGCTGTATATAGGATGATTACCAATTGATCATACCTAAATTTTAATTTGATAACTTCAGCAGGGGCAGCGAAGCGCCACGGGTCCCGCTAGTACATATATAAAATAGAAAAAAATTGTTTCTTTGTTTGTATGTTACCGATAGACGCCAAAACCGTTGAACAGATCTTAATGAGATTTACACTGTATGTCGGGGCATGCCCTGAAAGTAACATAGGCTATATAAAATTTTAAAATTCCGCATGGATGCGGAGTAATAGCATCAATAGTAAACATACCTCAAAATTTCTGAACATGTAATATGCGTTTATCTTACGAAACGTTACAGATACCGTTTTCAAAATTTGCCTGAATAACGAAGGTGTGAATACACACCATCCATACAAAAATTAGCATGGTACGATCAACGGAAAATGCACTTTATACTGCATTTTAAAAATCAGCATATTGAAAATTTGAAATATTTTGTTTGTAGACTCTAAAAATGCTGAAAAGATTTGACTGAGATTTTCACAGAACGTCAAACAAGCCTTGGCAACAACATCTACATATATCTATATATATAAAACAGAAAAAAATTGTTTGTTTGTATGTTACCGATAGACGCCAAAACCGCTAAAGAGATCTTAATGAGATATACACTGTATGTCGGGGCATGCCCTGAAAATAACATAGGCTATGTAAACTCTTAAAATTCCGCGTGGATGCGGAGTTATAGCATAAATAGTAAACATACCTCAAAATTTCTGAACATGTAATATGCGTTTATCTTAAGAACGGTTACAGATAACGCCCTCAAAATTTATCTGTATATCGTAGGTGTGAATACACATTATTCATAAAAATACGATGGAGATAAGATCGGTGGAAATGCACTCTCCGTTACACTTAAATAATCTATGTACATGTAGGAAATAAAAAATGTTTTGTTTATAGACTCAAAAACCGTTGAACAGATTTTACTGAGATTTTTACCGCTATCCGAGGGAAATAATATAGGCTATATAAACTTCCAAAATTTCGCGTGGATCGCATCGAACGTAATTATACATCTGAACTAATATTCATTTTCTGTGCTTATATCTTAAAAATGGTTAAAGATTCCCACTCCAAAATTTGTCTGAATAACTTGGTAGCAAATACGCATCGTCCCTATAAAATTGGCGTGGTACTATAGGGGAAAATGTACTCCTCACTGCATTTAATTAGTCTAAATGTAGAAAGTGGGAACTCTTTTGGTTGTTGACACAAAAGCCGATAAATAGATTTTAGATTTAGATTTTTAGATCTTTGTTATCGATGTTATGTTATTATCAGTATATAATGATAAAAACCACCAGTTCCGCTAACGTCTGGTGTTTTTCATCTCCCATTATCTACATATTGGAATAAAATTTGTGTAAAATGAAAAATATTTGACATTCTAATTTTTACGATTTGTCAATTTGTGAAAAAATGGATTTTTTAATTTTAAAAAGTCAACCAACATTGAAGGAAAAGACTATCAGCCTGTTTTTGTAAAATTCTAAACGAACGAATTCGAGTGACTTACGACCAAACTCCTTGGTTTTGAAAAATATGTCATTTATTTTTATTTTGAATCAAAAAATATTTGTTTACATAAACAAAGGTTTGGTCGTAAGTCACTCGAATTCGTTCGTTTAGAATTTTACAAAAACAGGCTGTATGAATTCAATATGAGAGATATCCAAAGGAGAAATGCTGATTGTGGAATAAAAGTTATAAAAGTCCGAAATCTGTGGTGGCTTATCATTATAGCTGATATATTTCGAGGATGTATAGAGGAAATGACTAAATCAAATGTCACAAATCCTATCTTCGGACTTTATCATGTTTTCTTAAGAATAACAATGCTATATCTAGGTTCGGTAAAAATATTATTATGTGATAATGCATTATTGTGAATTTTTCTTGGCAATGAAACAATTAAAAATATACAACTCAAACTTAACAAGGATCATACGTCAAGTATATAAGCGATATTAATCGGAGTGAGAAAGGGATCCAAATCATATCATGGGGAAATAGTTGAGAATACTGACATTAAAAATTGCTGTAATGTAAATGAAGGATTTTAGAGGTCTTGGAACGATTAATGAGAAACATGTAAATATTGGAGAAAATATATTTGTGCATGGTACTATTACAACTGATTAGAAACGTCAAGCGAACTTTGTTTTTAATACTACCACCGTTATTCAAAGATTATTTAAAAATGTATTTGTAATCTATTGAATAGAATCAAATATACTAATACATAGATCGGCTGCTACGAAATTATTACTGATATTACTGATGGGCAGCGAAGCGCCACGGGTTCAGCTAGTAAACTATATAATAATACCTATAGATTTTCGGTATTTTTAATATTTAGCTTTAAGTAAGGAATTGTGATGCAAAAATGTTAGTTTCGAAATTGATCGATATCAGACCTCAATTAGGCATATCAACTCATATAATAATAACTACAAATGTTCGGTAATTCTTACACGATACAATTAATATAGGTCTTCATTCTCATTCAATTTTTTCGACAATTACAATTTTCATATTTTATTTTAATATTTTTTGCTTCTTCTCATGTTCTTTGGGTATCCAAATTTCAAATTTGAGTATTACAATATTTTTGAACATTTTTGTACGAATCTTCACGTTACCCATTTAAATAATCATGTAACGCAACCCTTTTCTCGGACTCAAAGTTTATGCCCACCACAAATGACATAGGGCACACGATATTCCAAACGCTTCCCTTGTACAATTTTAAATATTCCCATTTGTGTCCTGTGTGTGTGAACATTTTCGGCAATGGAAGAAAAAAAAAGCGAATAAATAAAAAACCCGATGATGAAAATATTACGGCAAAAGGCAAACACAACTCAATTGTTTTATGATGAAATTTTCTGTGGAGTCCTTTACTGAGGCAGGGATTTTTCCGTTCATAGGAGTGCGAGTCGATACAATGTTTTTGATAGTATTGTTTATGGGTATTTTTAATATTTCAATACTTTGTTTGTTATTTCGTCGTTCGTCCTTTGCCTTGTTAATGCGGCCAGTACAATCGCGGTCGAAATGCACCCGACACACGGACAACAGAGAAAAAATATAAACAACAGAAAAGAAAAAAAACACACACACCAAAATATATGGCCCGCAGTCAACCACCAACAGTATAACAAGGCCATAATTTCTTCTTTTGGTGGCCTAACGATTGTCCCGTTTCCAAGGCAACAGTGTCAAAACCCTAAACAACCAACCAAACAAACACACTCACTCAATGCAACGACCACCCGACCTCTGGCAACATTGGCCCAACAATTTAGACAGGACCTGTAAGGACAATGGCCAAATTCAAGTGGTGGTAGTTGTGTTAACTCGTTGCCGGACAAACTGGCGTTAGTTGAGAGCATTTAAAGCATTCTCGCTCGTCACTATTTACAGCCACAACTATTACGGCCTCTTTTCGCATGGAAAATTTAGAAAAAGAAAAACAACGCAACAAAACATCGGATTTCTGGTCTATTTTGAGCTTTAAAATTTGTTGAAACATCGCAATAATTGTTATCTAGATGCCTACTTAGACTGGACACTTGCAACACTCACAGGCAACACACACACTCAGTCTTACATATCAGCTGAAGGAACTCAGCTGTCTTTCGTACATCTATGTTGGTGAATTTTACATAAAATAACTGCGTAGTTGTGGCGACTGAAACTGCATTCCAGCTAAAAAATTAATTACATTCTGCAATGGATGCGGAAATTACTGTAGATGCCGCAGGCATTCCTCTATCTACTGGTGGCACTGGGGAAACAGTTCCCGTTCAGGCGCCAGTAGCAGTAGCTCCGCCACCTCCTCCCACTGCTGCCGGTCGACCACCAACATCATTACTTTTTTCGGTATGTATTCGGTTTGTTTGTCGTCACGTGGCTGTTCGGTTTGTGGAAACATTCTGGCGTCGAGGGATCGCCAATGCCGTCTAATCCAATCTGGCCTGGACCTTTTATTCAATAAGTGTACTTCAGACACCCGCGCCAACATGTTTACCCCTGAAACTCGTTACGTACAGCCACTTAGCCATTCAATCCATATGTAAATTTTGCTGAAAATGAATTTAAATTTACCAAAACGAAATTGTTTTCCTAGCGTGGAAATTTAGTTAGCAGCCGCTTGGGAGGCGATAAAGGAGCGCAAGCACGTCCTTCCACATCTGTACGTGCCGTGGGCTATGCAGCCAACAACAGCGGTTCGGCTGGGCAACGCTTTGATCAGTTTTTCGTTGAAAAGGCCAAACAACAAACACTCTCATCAGCCAATGCCGCCGTGGTGGCTAAGAAAGAAGTGAGGTAAGTGGCAGGATAACAAAAACAAAAATCGAGACCAAATGTTTGTTTGCGAAATGACACGTTTTTCGTTTAAAGTCCCCAGGTGAAATATAAAAATCTGGAAGCAAAAATAGTGAAATTACTGGAATCGTCAATTGTTTTAGCGGCAAAAGCGTCATCGAATCGTAAATTCAATGGCGAGTTGGGTGGTCAGGAGACGATAACTTCGGAAATGAAGGCTGCCGCAGCCGAAGCGCTCAACAAAGCCAAGGAGGCATTTTCATTGGATCGCACGTTACACAGATTCCGGGATCAACATGGTGAAAACATTTTTCATAATTTCGATCTTACCTATGCGGTAAGTATTTAAATACTAAATCTAATTTAATTGTGGAAACCAAATTGAACCGACTGACCTGGGTTCCGCACGGCATTTAGAATGAAGACGCGTTGTGCTCTGTAAGGGAAACTTTCTACGATATTTTACAAAGAAAAACACCATTAAGGAAAGGACAAAATATATTGGAGAAAATCGGTCGAGATTAAGATATAGCTCCCATATGCATTTTCGTCCGATTTCAACTAATATCCGCTTGAGTTCAGATTTAGATATAGCTCCCATATATATTTCCTTCCGATTTTATGTAAATGGTGCACCATAGATCCCTTTCCAATTCCCAGATATTATGTTTCGCATATTGAATCTAGTCTAGAATGACGTATGTTACGTTTTGTTGAAGTCGGTTCAGTTGGTTTTTTGGTTTTTGTATAATATATATTTAGATGTAGATATAATTCCTATATATTTTCGTCTGAGTTCATGAAATTTGTGCACCAAACAAATGAAGGTTTCTCCTAGCGAGATAAAATTGTGGACAGCGCACTGTTTTGCAGCATACCAAATGGTGTATGGCTCAATTAGTTCCAGATTTACATATACCTCCCATACAAAACTTTGCTCGATTTTATATATTTAATAATTTTGCTCGATTTGGTACACCAAAGAACCCAAGTCTGCCCGATTGACATGATTTATTTCAGAGATTTCAGAATGATATGTTTATGCGTTTTTTAATTGATTCAAACAACCATGTAGATCACAAACTTAATTTCGCCCGATTGGATTTGAATGGTCCTCCAAAGATGATATGTCTGTCCTAGCTACAGGATATTGTACATATAGTTGGACACATTTTCACCCTACCAAGCGTAGATCCACATTTTTGGAGTTTTGAGATTTCAGGAAAATCCTCATTAAAGTTGCTGAAATTTATATTTCGTTTACAAAATTCGTCTATATAGGTCCACTTTTTGTTATAGTATAGTTCCTCGTTGGGTGAGAAACTTCATTGTAAATAAATGTCAATACAATAAGGGTGCAAACTTTAGGAAATTTGCCATCAAAAATTGCTGCGGCCCGGGCGAACATAATACTTTATTGCTGACTTTTTATTTTTGGTGATAGGTGATAGATTTCGTGCTGAAAATGAAGGAAAAATGTAAAAAACTTAGTACAGATTAATATTATAAATTCAACAATAAAATTAATGGTCATGTGAGATTCTACCATATGATATATTTTTTATTTAAATTAAAAATTTTCGGAAATCCATTTCAAACTAACATGAACTGATACAAGAATCTTTCATGCAGGGTTTTTAAAATTTGCATCACAAGAAAATAAATTACAAACAAGAAATTGGAAAAGGTGTATTCGCCATTAATATCAATTTCTACTAAAAAAACAGTGGACTTCAACCACGATTTACCGTTAGTTATTTTATTTGATTTTTTATGCAATGTACATTAAACGGCTTATCGAGGATCGGTCAACCAAAAATTAATATATTTTATAAATATTATATTTGAGATTCATTGGTAAGATGGAAATTTCCATCTCTATGCAAAGACGGCTTAACGTTTTTTTTTTCGTTACATTCGAATTTCCCCAAATAGTTGTTAGTTGAGGACTACTATTTATATTATAATCACATATTTGTATTTTCCAATGAAAACCGCATTCTAATTTGCTACATTACAAGTACATAACGTCATACATATATATTCCCTATCCACACAAAACGGTATATTAAAACAATTAAACTTTAATTGCTTTAAAGGAATCAGTGTGTAAATTGTAATGACCATTTTGTTCATTGTGTATAACTGTTTGTGCGCACCCCTTACTTCCATATTCCTGCTTGTGACTAGCATTCCGCTAAATGTCCCTATTGGGTACATGGAATCCATTGCCTGGCCTCACCTTTAATTCTATTATCGTACATCATTAAGAACTTTCGCCAAGTTAAAGCTTCAGATGAAAAACTAAAACTTTTTCACAGTTCCATTTTTCATCTCTTTTCTTATGGCTGTCTATCATTCTGTTTACCAGTTTGTTTGTTCCATCGTCTGCACTTCCGTCAAGTCATTCGAGAAAATAAGCTATGCATGCTCAACAACTGATACCAAGCTCTACTTTCAATTCTCACACCTACTTTTTACATCCGGCAACAAATTTATTCCTTTCTTCTCAGCCGGATGGATGTTCACACCCTTTTACATTCTTTGAAGAGCTGAAGTTTTCTTCTGTTTTTGTTTGGGTACTTTCGCTTTCCTTAACGGAAGGGGACTCAATAACTTATGGCGGAGCAGAACACGCGCCAAGCCAACAACCTACTTATTGAACCATCGGTCTCACTGACTGACTGACTAATTCATCCTTCATCCATTAAAACTTTTGCAGGTCTTTTTCAACCTGGCCGAGCAGTATGAGCGCAATGACATGCACATCGAAGCGCTAAACACCTATAGCATCATGACAAAGAACAAAATGTTTCCACATGTGAATCAGCTCAAACTGAATATGGGCAACATCTACTATCGCATGGGTATGTATCCGAAGGCTATTAAAATGTATCGAATGGCCCTCGACTCGGTGCCGAACAATCTGAAGCAATTGCGCCTGAAAATCACCCAAAACATTGGTATACTCTTCGTGCGTATGGGCCAATATGCCGACGCGGCCGCCAGCTTTGAGTTTATCATGTCTGAGCGAGCGGACATTCGAAGCGGCATTCACTTAATACTTTGCTATTATGCCATGGGTGATGTGGATAAAATAAAGAACACTTTCCGAAATTTATGTGATGTCCAGCCGATGGAGGCTGAAAAAGATTTGGACAATGAGAACAGCATACTAAAGCTGCAACAACATGTGGTCAGCGAACAGCAGAGTAACCACGACCGACAGCAGACACCGCCGCCCCACCAATCCCAACGCAATTTACATCATCAGAATGGATTCGAGAATTCGCCAACGGCCGAAATAGAGGTAATCAATAGCGCAAACGGTAATGGCAGTGGCGGAAATGGCGGTGTCGGTGGCAGCAGCAGCTTCAACATCGATGATAAAAATAACAATACGAATAATAGCGGCGTCGGTGGTGGCGACAGTGGCAGCAACTTTACTGGCAATGGTGCCGGCAACAATGCCAACGACCATCGCCCAAAGACTGGTTTAAGGCCTGTCGACCGTAATGGCTACATATTTCAATCGCTGAAATCCGACGAGCTGGCAATTTATATCAAGCAACGCAAAAACAATGAAAAACGCGCCATAACAATGATTGTCGATTTAATTTCTCCCATCATTGAGGAGAACTACAACGATGGTAAGCGGAAGTATAAAACGTGTATGCGTTGCGTAGTAGTTTGTTAGTCCGCCCAAAAAAATAGGAATGCCATTTGTGATTTTTCAATTAGGATATAAAGGATAGACATAGCAACATATATTCTTATGTATGTACATGTACATAAATAGATATAATATAGAGCTATGAAGATGTTAACTGTATTTAACCAAGCAGAACGACCTCGAATTGGAATGTGTGTTATAAAGACAAAATGTAATTCGAACATGAAAGTCATGGAGGCAGTTTAGTTTTTCTTCAATACAAAACTAAAACATGTAGAATTTAGTTTTTTATTAAGGAAAATTATTTAACTGTGACCAAGGATTTTTATACCCTCCACCATAGTATGGAGGGTATATTAATTTTGTCATTCGGTTTGTAACTCACCGAAATATTCATTTCCGACCCCATAAAGTATATATATTCTTGATCAGGGTAAAATTCTAAGACGATCCAGCCATGTCCGTCCGTCCGTCTGTTGTAAGCACGCTATCTTCCGAAGGAATTTAGATAGGGTGCTTAAATTTTGCATAGGGTTGTCTTTTGTCTGCAGGCAGGTCAAGTTCGAAGATGGGATATATCGGTCCACGATTAGGCATAGCTCCCATATAAGGGTACCCCCAAATTTTCGGAATTTTGGGGTTCTTGAGCGCGTTTTTCAACCGAATTCGCTGAAATTTGGTACATTGGGTCCTTATTGGGTACTAAATGTCGCCACAAAAAATTATAAATATAGGTCCACTTTTTCTGGTAGCCCCCATATAACGGTGCCCCCTAATTTTCAGTCTTTTAGGGGTTTTGGTCGTATTTTTCCGCCAAATTGGCTGTAATTTAATACTTTGAGTTCTAAATAGGTTCCAAATCACTCCACAAAAAATTATGAATACAGGTCCATTTTTTCTGGTAGCCCCCCAAACTAATTTTCGGTATTTTGGGGTTCTTTTTCAACCGAATTCGCTGAAATTTGGTATATTGGGTTCTTATTGGGTACCAAATATCTCCACTAAAAATTATAAATATAAGTCAATTTTTTTCTGTTAGCCCCCATATAAAGGTACCCCCAAATTTCGGCATTTGGAGGTTCATGAGCGCGTTTTTCAACCGAAATCACTGAAATTTGGTATTTTGTAGCCGTATATGGAAACAAATCTCCCTACCAAAAATTATTAAAAGTCAACCCCTTTTAGACGTAGTCCCCATATAACCCCATTTTTTATATTAATATAATTATCTGTTTTTTCCGCGTTCTGGGTTTGGTTCTAACACTCTAAATAAATAAATAACCCGTATTTAGACCAAGCCCCTGTGTGGAAGGTACCAGAAGGAGTGGACCGATGTTCCCCATCTTCGAACTTGAACTATGTTTGAAGGTGGCCAAAGTTTGGATGAAATCGAAATTTTCTGAAACAAGTTTGATCCAAAGAGACATGGATCTGGAACCATTTTAACCGTGTCAAAGTGCATATGCCCTCATTATCCATAAAGCTGAGAGAATAATTGTCCATTACAAATTTCTGAAATTTGTTTTATAGTTTACATTGTGGTTTATATAACCGGTTTGTGGAAATGTCGATATAGGTCCACTTTTTGGTATTTTCCTTATATTTTTATTTCAAGTACCTGTCAGTATATCTATGGTGGAGGGTATCCAAAGTTCGGCCCGGCCGAACTTAACGCTTTTTCACTTGTTTTGATTTACTGCGTCATTTTTATTTTTCTTCATGAACCTTAGATGTGCCAGCAAAAGTTGTTAAGGCAAATTCTGCGTTCTTATTCAATAAAACTGATGCAACTTTGTGGCTTTAGACTATATAGCATATCCATAAATCCATGACTACAGTTATATCCTTTCGAAATAATGCTGATAATCAACATTTCGACGCTGTTTCTTGTCTTCTGAGGATATACTCATTAAATTTTGTTTTATTCACTGGCATCTCTATTTTATTTTTCCGAAACTTATGCTTACATGGAAGTGAACATGTTTTTGTTTCGAACACTCATCCATACTCGTTTGCAATTTGTTACAGGATACAACTGGTGCATTGAGGTCATTAAAACGTCCAATCTATCATGGCTGGCCAGCGAATTGGAATTGAATAAGGCTTTGGTCTATCTGCGTCAGAACGATGTCAATCAGGCAATTGAAACTCTACAAATGTACGACCGCAAAAGTGAAGGATCCATGACGGCCAGTGCGCTCACCAATTTAAGTTTCATTTACATCAATGTAAGTATGTGGTCGATAAACAAACATACAAATAAACCCAAAAGCACGACCAGTGTTAATTTGGCCACAATTAACAAAATTTTATTTTGACCTGTGGGTCTGAGATAACGGCGTTACATTACCACTGTAGTCGTAACACTGACGCGGGAAACATAATATAATTTAGAAAAAAAAATTAAAATCTTAATGTAATTACCACAATGCAACAAAAAATATTTTGAAAAAAAAAAACTAAAGTTTATATGAAAAAAAGGAAAAGTTAGGACCGAACTTTTTATACCCTCCCTGAGGCAGATATTCAAACTACTTATAGGAGAAAACGAATATACAGACATACCGTAATATGAGGACTAGGGTCAAGATTGATATTTAGGTGTTTTAGATTCTAATTGCGTACCAAATTTTCCTAACAAAAACTATCATTGTTCAACATTTTCACTACCAAAAATTATCATATCAGTCCCTATTTTGGTATATACCCCCAACCGTCAAGCATCATGTTCTGTATGTTCAAGGTGTTGTAGTTAGGTATTTTGTTTTGTAGTATTTTCGTGGACCCTGTCGAACTTTTGCTTGTTTTCATTTTATTTTCATAGTCTAAATTCTTAACTTACAACAAAATAATTGTCTTGTTTAAACATCCATGTATACTATATACACATTTTTCAATTTAGCATATTTCCGTTTATTTTCAATTTCTCGCGAAAACACTTAAAATTCAATTTTAATTTACATAATTAGTTGGGCAATTTAGAAATGGCCACACACTGCATTCAGCAATTAAACGAAATCGGAGCACTGCAGAGCAATGCCATGGCGTTGGTAAATGCCAGCATCATTGACTATCACAAACAAAATTATGTGGCAGCACGCAACAAACTCGAGAGGGCACTGCAAATTCAGCCGGACAACTTTGAGGCCAATTACAATTTGGGCCTCGTGGCAATGCAGGAAAATGACTTAGCTCTGGCTGAGGAACAATTTGAAAATCTGAAGGCTCAGCTAATGGTTCCGCATTCGGTGCAGCACAGTCATGTTTACTATCAATGTGCCAAGCTGCAAGAGAAGCTAAATACGACAACTATCGGCGGCAATAACTTCAAATTGAATAACACTTCGACAGCGCTGCAATCGTATCTCCAGGTCTTGGGAATATCGGCTGGAGAAATTGATTCGCGGCTATTTGAGAAAGTCGGTTCAATCTATGAACAGCTAAATGATCACCAAGAAGCCAATCAGTACTACAACGAGGCATATCGCATTAATCCTAGTGACATTAGTATCGCAAGTTCGATTGGATCCTATTACATTAAGTTGCAAGCCATTGAAAAGGCTTTGTATTATTACGAGAGAGCAGTCCTAGCCGATCCCAATGATCCCAACTTAATGTTACGCATAGCTAGCTGTTTTCGAAACTCATATTTGCCACCCAAACAGTATTTGGGAATGTTTGAGAAAATATATGCCCTATTTCCGGATAATTTAAACTGTGTGCGAGCCTTAGTGCAGGTTACAAAAAGTTTGGGTATGGCGGAGTTGAATGAGAAATATTCACAGGAATATGCACGATTGCATAAAGCTCAAACGGAAAGAGAAAATGAACAGCGTTATCAACAACAACGATTGTCATCGGCTGCCTCAGGCAGAGTTGGAAGCAGCCGTTTACGAAGTAATTTTCTCATGTGGAAATAGAAAAAAAAAATAGATTTTCTTATAAATGTTACCTTTTTTAGCTTATCGAAACGATCGAATGTCGGAATCGGAAAATGGTCTATCAAATGCAATTTCAGCCAATTTCAATGGTGAACATTATGTTCGTGCAACGGATTCGCTATATACAGGTAACTTTTTTAACTGTCATACATAGATATGTAGTCGAACTTTTCAACAACGAATTATTATCTATGAATAATATCTATATAACAGAAAAAAGACATTTATTCGTTGGCCACATTTTAAAAAAGTTCGACTGTGTAACATGTATGCGCAACCATGATATTTCGTGATACTTATTGTTTGTAGCTAGTCAACTAGTATTATTTATTCACATATGCAAACATATATGTTTCCTTTCACAGCGCCACAACATACTGATCCTTTGGGACCACCCCCAGAACGACCCCGTACCGGTGCCGTTAAAAATGATGCAACACCCGAATCAGATGACGAAGAGATGAATGCAGAAAGTTTATTACCCATATAAATATTAATTGCGTCAAGTAAACAAAATAACAATCATTTTTGTTTGTCGTAAAAAATGCATTGACACAATGAGTGGCAAATAAATGTAATAACACTCTTACTTTTCCTCATTTACTTGTGTTCCCATGCGAACACAATATGTTTGTTGGGTTGTGTCGAATATATCATGTTTTCGTTAAATGAACAAATATTAAAAAAAAAAAAACATTAATAGAAAGGACAAATAGTAAGGGAAGGGAGAACTATATGATGTACTATACTACAATGGGTGTATTCACGGGGTGATCTTAGATTTTTTTGTGGGTCCTAATAAAGTATACATGGGTGATCTATACTTAATTTGAAAGTATTTTGTGTCGAAAGTGTTTTAAAATTTTGTTTCTAAATACCGAATATTGGCGGTATGAGGGATATACCAAAACGTGGACCGATTTATCCCATTTGCAATAATATACATTCTAGTATATGCAATGTATGTGCAAAATTTCAAAGCTCTATCTATATATAATGTTTGAAGATGGGATTTTTCGGTCCACTCATTCTAGTACCGCGGTCAAAAAATTAAAAAAAAAATTGTAAATATTATCTGATGGGAACGCATTGTACAAAATTGTGTGTCAATCGGACAAACTTTAGGTCTTTAGTGGAGAATTTACATGAAATCGGAAGAAAATATATATGGGAGTTATATTTAAATCTGAACCAATTTTCACGAAACTTAGCACGCTATGCCAAATTTCGTTCAACTCGAAAGAAATATGGGAGCATTGGTACACTATTTACGATAATATATATCTAAATCTGAACCGATATTCCCGAAACTTAACATACGTCATTGTAGGCTTAATGCAGTACGCTATGCCAAATTTAGTGAATATCGAAAGGTATATAGGTACATTGGTGGGCCCTTTGTCAGGGCTGTACCAGAATGAGTGAATCAGACTTATATATGCTGTTATAAATTTTATGGGCTATCTACACTAAAGAGGAAACCACATATTATAAGTTTCACAATGAATAAAAAACTGAAAAAATAATACACATATTCTTGCCGATATCCTTTAAGTCGGTATACACAAATATTATTTTGATTGTGTCAATGTGTGTGTGTACCAGCGCATATGGATGTGCAGGTGGTTTCACAACACATTTGTGCATTTATCATTCTGTGGGTAATCATATATCATACTTATCTGTAATCTCCACTCAGACTCAAGACAATGTTTTACATAGGTAGCACAAACACATAGCCACACACACACACTTATACACTATAAATTACTTCTTGCAAGGTAGTTGGTTTTGTGTACGCACAGCCAAGCAACGGAGTAAAGATTACGAAATTCACTCTGCGACAGCATATCTAAATACCTAGAAATAATTGTATGTAAAATGTGCATATGTAAATTGCAACATAAAGTGGCTACTAGTTGGTTGCATTCATATGAATTGCTGCCAGACAAGACAATCAGACACCACATGCATATAACCGATAATTTGAAATTGGAGTAAGACCAAATAAATTGATTTTCATTCCAGGAATCATAAAATTCTAAATTTCCAACTGCGTTGCGAATAATTTAACCAATCTGCAAAGAGGTTAAGTGTCTAGACAGGCAAATGTTTAACACATTGATGATGAATTGAATGATTGGACGAAAGGGGTCCGTCTACACTACAATCAATAATACAAGTAATAGCCTAATACACGTAATAGCCTCTTGATTGTGTCAATGTGTTTAGCTCCCAAACTCGAGGGGATAGTTTATTTCGAAGAGTATAAAATGATCATTAATGAATAAGGATTTTAATATCGCTCCCTATTATAAACAAAGTTCAAATTTAGAATAATATAATTTTTAGGAGACGTAACTGAACGTTCTGCGTCCTGGCGAATGTTTCCCAGTAGTGGCGTAGTTTTATTGAATCATCTTATAGTAATTAAATTATTATTTCGGTTAGGGTAACTGCAGCAAGAATCTACACAATCCTGAAGTCTAGTGGAAATATCGAAAGTCGGTATCATTCAGAAACTATGAATTTTCTATTCGAAATCCTGAATGGTTTGTCTGGAATTTAATATTTAAGTTTCATAATAGTAAAAAATTGTCAATGTGGATTCAAATTTAGCTTCCCAATTCAGCTAATTTGGAGTCCAACAGCATGAGAAGCATTTTGGTATAACCCTTATATGACAGCCGACAATTTTCAATATTTTGAGGATTATAGACACATTTTCAACCGACTTCGCTATATTTATATATTTTTGATTGTCAATGGGTGAATAATCTTTCTAAATAATATGTATCAACATCTTTTCAATTTCGAACTGGTCACCATTTATTTTATAGTGGTCCACATTACCCGACTTTGACTTTTTATACCCTACACAACTATTCTGTCAGGGTATTATAGCTTTGGTCCTAGACACACCTTTTAGTATACCCAATCATCATATCTCGTCTAGCTGAGTCGATCTTTACATGTTTGTCTTTCCGTCTGTCTATTATAATTTGTAAATACAGGCCACAGTTACGGACCAATCTTCACGAAATTTTGCATGTAGGTTAGGTTAGGACCACATAAGACCCCTATTTTTTTGGTACTGTTTCGTTAATATTTAGGGGATTATGAGCCGAACATTACGAAATTTTGGAGATCTGTTTTTTTTTGCTGATGAAAGCAAATTTATCATATTTAGGTTGGATGGACAAAGTACGGCATGGAGCAGACCTTAAGCACACAATTCCGACCGTAAAACACGGAGGAGGAGGCTCCGTAATGGTGTAGGACTGTATGAGCGTTGCCGAAGTAAGAAATCTCGCTTTTATTGAAGGAATTATGGATAAGATATATTATTTAAACATTCCAAAAATTCAATTAAAATATAGTGCTGAAATATTGGGATTGGAGACAAAATTTCAATTTTATCAAGATAAAGGCATTCAAACACCTCCCTCGGATTTGAATCCTATAATGAACATATGGAGTATTTTGGAGAAAAATATTAGAACCCATAACATCTAAAGTATACCAAGCCTGACAAATGCTTTACAAGTAGAATGTGGGAAAATTCAACATCTTAAACGGAAAACTTGGTAAAAGCTATTAAAAACGTGTTAAAAATCTCCATATTGGGGGGTACCATATTATTGTGTCAATATTAACAATTTCTGGTACGATGATTTGCTATTCAATGAGAACCCAAAATACCAAACTACGCCAATTCGGTTGGAAAACGTGTCCAAAATCACCAAAATACCGAATATTGGGGGGTACCATTTGCAATACCAAACATAGTAGCAATGTCTGGGCAAAATTTCGTAACTTTATCTTAAATATTGCGATTTCAACAGACGGACTTAAACATAGCATTTTTTTGTGATCAAGAATATATGTACTGTATGGGGTAAATATTTCAAGGTGTTTCAAACGGAATGATATAAAATAAATAATAAATAAAATAAAATTTAATTCATTGATTAACATGCAATTATTGCATTTTTATTATAAAAACCATTAAGGAAAGTAGAAAAGTCGGACGAGGCCGACTATATGATACCTTCAACAGATGAATCCTAACAGACGTCGCATTTTTAAACGACCAATATAATGAAATTGGATCTATAAACATGTCATTCTACCGATACTAAATTTTTCTTTTGGTCAGAAGCTATATCAAAATCTGAACCGATTTCAGGAAACTTAACACACATCATTCTAGACCTAATTCATTACGCTGTGCTAAATTTTGTGAAAATCGAAAGATATATAGGGACTTTGGTGCACCATTTACATTTAAAAGGGCGAATATCTATATCTAAATCTGTTCCGATTTTCAGGAAACTTAACACACATCATTCTAGACCTAATTCATTACGCTGTGCCAAATTTCGTGCAAATCGAAAAATATCTAAGGACTTTGGTGCCCCATTTACATTAAATCGGACGAAAATATATATGGGAGCTATATCTAAATCTGAACCAATTTTCAGGAAACATAATTCTATACCTAATTCATTACGCTGTGCCAAATTTCGTGCAAATCGAAAGATATATGGGGACTTTCGTGCACCATTGACATTAAATCGGACGAAAATATATGGGAGCTATATCTAAGTCTGAACCGATTTTCAAGAAACTTAACACACATCATTCTAGACCTAATTCATTACTTCGGTACCCCATTTACATTAAATCGGACGAAAATATATATGGGAGCTATATCTAAATCTGTTCCGATTTTCAGGAAACTTAACACACATCATTCTAGACCTAATTAATTACGCTGTGCCAAATTTCGTGCAAATCGAAAAATATCTAAGGACTTTGGTGACCCATTTACATTAAATCGGACGAAAATATATATGGGAGCTATATCTAAATCTGAACCAATTTTCAGGAAACATAATTCTATACCTAATTCATTACGCTGTGCCAAATTTCGTGCAAATCGAAAGATATATGGGGACTTTCGTGCACCATTTACATTAAATCGGGCGAAAATATATGGTAGCTATATCTAAATCTGAACCGATTTTCAGGAAACTTAACACACATAATTTTAGATCTAATTCATTACGCTGTGCCAAATTTCGTGCAAATCGAGAGATATATGGAGACTTCGGTGCACCATTTACATTAAATCGGACGAAAATATATATATGGGAGCTATATCTAAATCTGAACCGATTTTTCCAAACTTCAATAGGTTTCGTCCTTGTGCCAAATAAGTGACCTCTGCCAAATTTCATCCAAATCGGATCATAAATGCGACTTTGTTCACAAAAATACATGGACGGACAGACGGACGGACGGACAGACGGATATGGATAAATCGATTCAGAAAGTGATTCTATGCATATTCTCAAAAGTAACCATGTGTCTAACTCGTTTCCTTTTGCCTGTTACAAACATATGCACAAAGACATAATACCCTGTACCACAGCGTGGTGAAGGGTATAAATACCGGTGGATATGTTTGACTGTGACTCACTGTAACATTTTTATATTTGAGAAAATCGAATTGTTCGACTCTTGTGGGCAATGTTCACACATTGAACTTAAACATAGTACATATACACAAGCATGTACTTTACT